TTAAATAACTAAAATATACTTCTGGAATTGGAAGCATAATGTATTCACAAAAATGTTTCTTCCATTAGAATATTGTTCATTGCTTACTCATGAAACAGAATTTTGGCTTTTGTCAGATTGAATGAAGTGCACCAGACAAATAATGGAGAAAAGATTGGTTTAAAAAATGTGATATATGGTAGTGTAAAAAGCATAGGTTTTGGAGACATTCTGGTTCTCAAATTAACTGTGACATTAATAATGTGTCAATGTAGGTTCAGTTGTAACAAATGTGAGGGATGTTGATAGTGAATATATAGAGGCAGGGAGCATTGGTAAATCTAACCTCCCATCAATTTTTCTTTGAGTTTAAAACAGCTGTAAAAATAGTCTTTTAAAAATTAATTTTGATTTTGTGCAACTTTGATTTTGATTTTGACCTTAATTTCTTTATCTGTTCAATAGGGGAGTAAAAAGAGAATAAGTATGAAAAGAAAATGACCTTTCTTCTCTGCTTATTCTAGAAGACATTTTATTACAGAAAATTTAGAATATATACCCATAGGCAGAATTGTACAATAAACTCCCGTGTACCTATAACCCAAACCAAAACAATCATCAACCCACATCTAGTAATAACCCTTCTACTTTCCTCTCCTCTGTATTTGCATGTGTATGTGAGGTTTTTTTGTTTTGTTTTGTTTTTTGTTTGTTTGTTTTTGGTACCGGGGATCGAACTCAGGTCCTTGCACTTGCGCAGCAGGCGGCGAAACCACTGAGCTAAATCCCTGGCCGTTTTTTTTTTTTTTTTTTTTTTTTTGGTACCAGGGATCGAACTTGGGACCTTGCGCTTGCGAGGCAGGTGCAGGAACCCCTGAGCTAAATCCCCGGCCCTGTTTTTTGTTTTTTGAAATGGGTCTTGCTTGGTATGTAGTTCAGGCTTTCCTTGAACTCACTATGTAGCCCAGACTGCCCTTGAACTAATGTCAGTCCCCCTGCCTTAGACTACCAAGTGCTGGGATTACAGGTTTCACCGCCATGCCCAGCTTTTTCTTTTGTATTTTTTTAAGCATATTCTAGATATGATATGTTTCACTCAGAAGTACTTAGTATCTATAAAAGATATGGACTCTTTATTTATTTATTTATTTATTTATTGGTACTGGGGATCAAACTCCGGTCCTTGCGCTTGCAAGGCAGGTGGTGGAACCACTGAGCTAAATTCCCGGCCCTGGACTCATAGACACAGTACCAATATCACAGAATAATAATAACAACAAGTCTTTATATTTCAAATCTACTTTAACATAACTATATCTACCACCTACCTCACCACCTACCGCAGTCCTCTGGATTGAATCTAGGGATCTTCTTTCATTTTTGAGTCAGGATCCAAATAAGTTTTACACACTGTGATTGATTAATATCTTTGAAGTAAATTAAGATTGATATATTTTATTTATTTTATTTTATTTTTTGGAACTGGGGATCAGCACATTGCCCAAGATACAGTTAAGATCTTGCTAAGTTTTAGCTGTTATACATTATCTAATCTGATCCTGACAATCATTTTTAAAAAGGCAAGCCAGTTATTATCCCCATTTTGTAGATCAGGAAACAGATCCCCCCATCCCCATAAGTATTTGGCAATGGTCAAATAGTTACATAAGTGACAGTGCTAGACATGGCCTAGCCTAGAATTTCTATACTATTACTTATTTTTAGAAAAGGTAAAATCTTTCCTGTAAGATAGTAGAAAAAATTACGTTCTTGGAAGAGATTTTTTAGAAATGTATGAAAGCAAATTTAAAAACAAATGTTTCAGGCAATCTTTTAATGTTCTTTCATCCATACTGAATAAAGTTAACTTTTATTCCCAATAGATCCTTTTCATATATTGCTGGATTTAATTTAAAATTTTGTGAGGATTTTTGTATGTGTGTTCATGAATGATTTTTCTTTTTCATAATGCTTTGTCAGGTTTTAGTATCTTGTCAGAGTATTTTCTGACATCATAAATTGAATTGGGGGATGTTTACTTTTTTCTTATTCTCTGGAAGGGTTTGTGTAAGATTGGTATTGTATTTTTCCCTAAATGTTTGATGTAATTTTCTAGTGAAGCCATCTGGATCTTCAGGGGTTTTGTTTGTTTGTTTGTTGTTGATATATGTGGAAATAGTTACAGTTTTCAAATAGTTTTAAGCCTTTCAGGTTTTAAATTTTTTTCTTTTTGTTTTTTGGTACTGGGGATCAAACTCTGGACCTTGTGCTTGCGAAGCAGATGGTGGAACCACTGAGCTAAATCCCTGGCCTTCTTTTCTTTTCTTTTTTTTTTGAGCTAGGTTCTCGCCGAGTTGTATAAGCGGGGCTCAAACTTGTGATCTTCTTGCCTCAACCTCCCAGAGTGGTGTGTTGAGTTTATAGGTGTTAACACAGTACGGCTTTTTTTTTCCCTAGAATTTTTTAAACATAAGTTTTAATTTATTCAGATAAGTTATTTATTAACTGAATTTATTATTTGAACTTTGAGTAATGAAGCTGTAATATTTTGAGCTTTAAAAATTTAATGGTGGGCAGGGGATTTAACTCAGTGGTTTTGCCGCCTGCTGCGCAAGCACAATGACCTGAGTTCAATCCCTGCTACCAAAAAAAAAAAAAAAAAAAAATTAAATGGTACCACAGAGTGAAACGCATTCATTCAGTCAAAAATTTTAAAAAGCTGAGCATGGTAGGCACACCTGTAATCCCAGCTCTCTGGGATGCTAAGGCAGGAGGATCACAAGTTTGAGCCCAGCTGACCAGTTTTTCGCTTTAGCCAGGCCCTCTCTCAAAATAAAAAATAAGGGGCCAGGGATCTAGCTCAGTGGCACCGCACCTGATTTGCAATCAAAAAGTCTTGAGTTCGATCCATGGTACTGAAAAAAAAAAAAAAGAAAGAAAGGCAGGGGATATAGCTCAAGGCAGAGGTCCTAAGTTCAATCTCCCAATACCTCCAAAAAGTTTTTTAAAAATTAAATCAATAGGGGCCGGGGATTTAGCTCAGTGGTGCTGCCGCCTGCCCCACAAGCGCAAGGACCCAAGTTTGATCCCCGGTACCAATCAGTCAATCAATCAGTTAATCAATAAATAAATACATGCTATGTATCACTTAGGCTTTTGTAAAAAAATTGTGGTAAGGGGCCGGGGATTTAGCTCAGTGGTTCCGCCACCTACTTCGCAAGCACAAGGTCCCGATCCCTGATACCAAAAAAACCCCAAAAAAACAAAATTGTGGTAAGATACAGGTCATTAAATTTATCATCTTAATGCTTTAAAATGTACGGTTCCCTGGTGTAAGTACCTTTACATGGTTGTGCAGCCAGACTCCACAATTCGCAAAACTGAAACTATACCATTAAACAACTCCCCGTTAGCTCCTGCCATATCCCCTAGCAACCAAACTTCTACAGTGTCTTTTATAAAATTGTCTACTCTAGGCCTCTAATATAAGGGGCTAACACAGTACTTATCTTTTTGTGACTGGTGGTTTCACTTAGCATTATGTCCTCAAGGTTTATCTTCATTACAATGTAATATATCATTACATGTATCAGAATTTTTTCTTTTTCAAGGTTGAATATTTTTCCATCGTGTATATATACCACATTTTGTTTAACCATTTATCCACCGGTGGGCACTTCAGTTGATTCCACTTTCTGGTGTTGTAAATAATGCTCCAGTGAACATGAATGTACCAATATCTCTTCATTCAATTCTTGAGTAATTTTTTTTCTTTTTGGTACTGGGGATCGAACTTGGGACCTTGTGCTTTCGAGGCAGGTGGCGAGACCACTAAGCTAAATTCCCAGCCCTCTTCATTCAATTCTTTGGGGGAAAATATATATGTGTATCTCCAGAAGAATTACTAGATAATTCGTTAATCCTATTTTTAATTTTTTGAGGAACCACTCTTTTCCAAAGTGACTGTACCATTTTACATTCCCACTAGTAGAGTACTTTGCAGAATTTGTATTCCTTTTTTTTGGGGGGGGGGATTTGTATTCTTTTGTCAGTACATTGTATTTCTCTAGGAATTTGTTTCACCAGATTGTCAAATTTATTGGTACAGTGTTGTTTTCAGGATCTCCAGCACGATATCACTTTTTTTTTTTTTTTTTTCCCACTTCTGGCATTGGTTACTTAAGTCCTTTGCTCCTTTTTTAAAAAAATCAAATGTTACCTGTCTGAACCTGGTGGCACCTCCCTGTATTCCCTGCTTCTTGGGAGGCTGAGGCAGGAAGATAGCAAATTTGAGGCCGTCCTGGACAATTTAGTGAAATGCTTTCTCTAAATTAAAGAATAAAAAGGGCTGCAGTTGTAGGCTTCAATTGTAGAGTCTAGGCTGTAGAAAGTCCTGGGTCCAATCCTCAGTACTGGGAAGAAAGCAAAACAATGTTACCAATTTTATATATCTTTTAAAATAATCAATTTTGTGCTGTTTGATCTTTAATTATATATTGCTTTTGTTTTGTTAAGTTTTGCCTTTTTTCTTTTCATTTACTTTGCACTTACTTAACACAGTTTGGGTCTGACTTGCACTTATGCTCATCAGGGTTCCTTCATCCCTTTGCTCTACCCCTTCCAGAACAAAGTTGCTTGTTTTTGGTGTGTGTTTGTTTTTGTCTTTGTTTTCTGAGAAAGGGTCTCAGTTTGTAGTTCAAGTTGGCCTTGAACTCACTGTGTAGCCCAGGCTGGCCTTGAATTTGCCATGTAACCCAGACTGACCTCAAACTTGAGGTGATCCTCTTGCCTCAGCCTCGTGAGAGCTGGGATTACAGGTATGGGCCACCATGCCGAGCACTTGCTCGTTTTTAACAAAGAGAAAAACTTGGTGTGAAAGGCGTTGAGTTATTAGGAATGATGTAACATTCATCACTAAGCTGTAACTATTATCAGCTATACTTAGCAATTCTAATGTACTCCTGCTGACAAGATTATCAGATGCAGCTTGTAACAGTCTCTTTTTTCCTTCTCTGTGGCAGGACCTGTTGGGGCCCAGCCCCTACTCATGGTGCCCAGAAGACCTGGCTATGGCACCATGGGCAAACCCATTAAACTGCTGGCTAACTGTTTTCAAGTTGAAATCCCAAAGATTGATGTCTACCTCTATGAGGTAGACATTAAACCAGACAAGTGTCCTAGGAGAGTGAACAGGTAAGAATCAGGAAACTGTGGAGATCTTTTGCTATTTGTATTTGGTTTAGTAATTATGTTGTATATTGGAATAACAATGACAATATATAACAGTTTGGCCAAAAACACCAGATAATTTGTTTTTGGGGTTTGGTTTTGGTTTTTTTGGTACTGGGAATCGAACTCAGGACCTTGCACTTGCAAGGCAGGCATGGTGCCACTGAGCTAAATCCCTGGCACCAGGTAATTTGTTTTGAAATTGATTGTATTTCAGAGGTGTGACTGTGAGAAAAATCTGCAAACATCCTAGAAATTATTCCATCATAAATGAGCTCTTACGTTTTCTTTGTGATGATAGAAAATGCCATTTTTTAAAAATGCTTAAAAAAATATGCCTTTTTTTAATGCTTGGAACCAGACTTGGCATCCTGAGCATATCTTTTTTTTAATTGCTGCTAGGTAATATATGTGTGCTTTCTTTTTCTTCTCCACTTCACCTTACTTATCAGTTTCGTAGTGTTCCTTTTCAGATTCAGTGATGATGGTAGCAGTGGGGGGGTGAGATGGTGATTCTCATGGTTTCATGCTTTCTCTTATATTCCTTGCTTTTTCCATAGCAATAAGTATACATGATATGTAAGGATTTATCATTCTGCTTCCTCTGCTCTCCCCCAAATACCATATATATTTCTCATTGCAGCTTAGACAATACAGAGATTATAAAAGGAATTTGTGATGTAATGTGTGCTGAGTATATTCTGATTTAAAAAGAAACACATTTAGAAAACAGTGATATTTAATTTAGCCTTTTGGTTTATATTGTCTCAGCCTTTTCTTATTAGTATTATTAAGAGCTTTAATTTAAGACGTACATAGTTTGTCAAAATTTATAATTCAGTAGAGGTAGTAAGACACAGAAGAAATAGGAAAATCTGATTTTTTTTTTTTGTTACTGGGGATTGAACTTGGGTCCTTGCGCTTGTGCAGCAGATGGCAATTTGATTTTTTTTTTGGACTTGCCATCTTTATTATTAGTATTCTGTTATACCTGAAAGTGAATGAGCACTAAAGAGATTTTTTTATCTACATTGTTTTATTTTTATTTTTTTAATTTGAAATTTTCTTTTTTTATTAAATTTTTATTGTTATTGGTACATGTTTGCAGTACATAATGATTACATTTCCCATGGGGACTTGATACATATACATAACACATCTTTGTTTTTTTTTCCTGGAGTCTCCTTCTGGAGGAGATTTCTAGGTTCTTTCTGACCAGAGCAAAGAATTGGTCTAGACAAATGCAAATGGTAGCAAAGTTTTATTAAAGGTAGGAAAAGAAATAGCCGCTGGAGAGTGAGCTTGGGCCAGTTAAAAGTAGAAAGAGAGGCTGGGGATTTAGCTCAGTGATTCGGCCACCTGCCTCGCAAGTGCAAGGTCTTGAGTTTGATCCCCAGTACCAAAAAAAAAAGTAGGAAGAGAAGTGCACCCTACAGCATGAGTGGGCCACCACATAAGAAGCAAAGAGTGGCCCACAACACATCGTAATTCTTTTTTCACCCCATTCCCCACTCCTTCCTCCTCCCTCTATCTCACAATAAGAGATTTTGTGATAACTTATTAAAACTATTTTATAAATCTTTTGTAAAGGGAGAAGACAAGGATCTCGGTTGATAAAACCATTAGTAGAAATTTGGGTAGCAGTAGTAAATTTGTGTGTGTGTGTCCAGAGATACTAAGCTATCATGATGAATAGATGACTCCTAACCCTACTGTAGCCTCCACCCCTACCCTAAACTTTAGACTGCTGTCTAAATGTGCCTCTAAAGTACTGCAAAAAAAGGTCAAAACAACTCTTTTTTTCAATCCCCACCGCTGTACTTTGTTCATTCTACTGTATATTTTTTTCTTACCTAAATTCCCAACATAGGCTTTTCATTTCCTTTTACCTCTTATTGGTTATGAAGTCTTACTGTTTTTTGGGTTTTTTTGGTACTGGGGATCGAACTCAGGACCTTCCACTTGCAAGGCAGGTGGCAATCCCCGGCCCCTTACTGGTTTTTTGTTTGTTTGTTTTTGTTTTTTTTGGTACTGGGGCTCGAACTCGGGACCTTGCACTTGCGAGGCAGGCAGTACTGTTTTTATTTCAGAAATTTTTCTTTAATCTTTTCTCCCTCTTTTCCCCTAGTCCTGGGCATTGAATCCAGGTCCTTCACACTGAGCTACATCTCTGGCCCTTTTTTTTTTTTTTTTTTTGAGATTGGATCTCACCAAGTTGATAGATTGCCCATGCGGGGCTTGAACCAGTAACCCTCCTTCTATCTCCGTTACGAAAAAAATAAAGAAAACAAATACTAAGGAACAAGAAGGAAATA